CTAGTTCTGCCTCTGGATATGAAGAGCATATGGCTGACTCCTCCTTTTACTAGACTGGTTACCCTGGTCCTTTCCAAACCCATGAGGAAGACATGCTAACACAAGAAAGAGAAAAGTGTTACCCTTAAAGAAGCCTGTCAGCTGTTGGCCCCTCTCTCCAGCTCAGGAAGGACTGACACTATGCCCAAAACCTGGTTTCAAAACATTTCTCAGGGCTTCAGCTTTATTTATTGTATAACTTATCAATCATCCTTACTACCTTAGTCTAGGGTCTTCTGCAGGGGCATACTGATTACCTATAGGACCCAGCTGTTTTGACTATGTGCTTAAGAATAATCTTGGTCAAGGGCCTGCCTTCAGGTATCCACACACTTCCTGTAGCTTTCCCTACCCTGGCTAGATATATCCTGTCAGAGCTTCCCTGCTTCTGCCAGCTCCCTACCCCAGCTTAGTCACTTGCTGGCTTCAATCACCTGACCTCTGGATAATTAGTTTGATCTAGGAGGTAACCGATGGATCACAGCTGATGCTGGGTGCAATTCCCCTTAAAGAACCAGCCATTCTATCACAAAGCCATACAGCCATACTTCCCCTGCAGTTTCAGACAAAGTATTCCTCACCCCTTACACTACACACTGCTGTATAGTGTAACAAAATGAAATATTAACTAGTTAGATTCTTACCTTTTTGGGAATACTGATATCGCTCATAGTGATCTTCATTCCCTGCTGAATAATCATACTGTTGCCCAAGTAGTTCTTCAAAACTAAGAAGAAAATATGTTTTGAATGTATTTTTTTCCCCAATTAAAGACAGCAGGCCAGTTCATGCACATTCCCTGCAAAAGCTTAGAGGAAAAGAGGCTTTAAATAGTTGTAGTACAAATTATCTACATAGCTGTCACAACAGTCAAGTGTTAGTTAATCCAGAGCTCTTAGTCCTTCCATAAATCTTAAACTGACTTTTAATTTTAAATGATTTTAGAAGCCAACATTAGCTTCACCAGAACTAAATTCACATGTAATATTTTTTTCCTGTCAACTGGTACGTTTGGGTAGGGTCTTCAACTACCCAAACATACCAAAGATACACAAACATTTTAATTACCAGTGATAAATGCAATATGTAACATAATATTATCTCACTTCAAGTTTTGTCTAAGATTATGTTTGGCATTGGAAACTTCCCTCTGCTAAAGCCAAATTATACATTTATACAAAAGGAAAACAGATTAAAAAAAAACACCCCCATGTTCATGCACCCACCTTCCCCAAGTGTGCCACAATTACTCTAAGCGCTGTCATAAAAACCTGTGGATTCCATTGTGCAGATGGGGGGTGTTTAGTAGGGTCTGCACCTACGCCAGATATGGTTGTGTTGGAGACTCAAAAATTATCTGTAAGTTTGTAAGCCCCAGTTATCCAGTATTTCACCAGATATATCCAGGGATGTTCAGAAAGAATGTCTTACTCCTCCATTCAGCAGTCAATAAGCTGATGCTAAAGGGATCATAACCATAAAGCTGCTGCTACTCACCCAGACTCCCAATTAATTTTCTTCCAGCTTTTTCTAGGCGCTAGCAGCTACTCACTGCTGTGGATTCCTATTCCTTCAAGTCCCAAAACCAATCCACTCTCCCTCTTCAAACTCATTACCACACAAGTTCCCTGAATTCTGCACACCAACTACCTATTCCTCTATGTCTCTTACACAGAGAGAAGGCTGTTATATCAGGCCCCACCCAGACATTATACTTAAGATGCGATTAAACAGATAATCGCCTCTTAAGTGTAACCCAGCCATATGTTCATGCAATTAATAGTGCAACAAAACAGAAAACCAGCCATAACATTATTACACAAGAGTTGTGTAGTAATTTTGTGTCTGCTTTCCTTTGTGCCTTAAAATGAATGTGCAACAGGGTGTACGATACCAGGACTCAAATGCATCCCAGTCCAGTCCCTGCTGGCTGCTAATCAGCTAGCTCTGGGATGGCACCAGGGCCCATTTGAGCCCAGGTGCAGTTCCAATGCTGCTACCTAACAGCTGATCCTTGGCTGACAGGGACTGCATCAGGGCTCATACAAGTCAGGGTGCCAATCAGGTGATTGCCAGCCGGCAGGGACCACACCAGTCCTGAACCTGCAAGTGATCAGCTGATAAACAACAGCATCAGGAGCTGCACTGATGCTGTCAACCATCAGCTGATTGTCAGCTGGCAGGGATGGTACCATGGCCAGGTCAAGCCTCAGAAACACCCAGCTGCTCCTGATCTAGCCAATGATCAGCTGGCTGCAGGGGTCAAACTGGCCCAGTGGGTCCTTGGAGCCAGCCAACGATCAGCTGATTGTCAGGCACCTTTTGCCAGTGAACAGGGAGCCTGAGATCATGATTGTAAGTTCCCCCTGCACTACAGCAAAATTGGGTGTGATTGGGGTCTGGTTCCTGATCCCAAAATTGCATGTCCTGGCATGCATGTGCACCATGGAAGGAGGTGTAACTCTTGGGATTGTGGATCAGATCCCATGATGCCCTTAACTGAACATCTGTCTAAAACCTCAGTTTTCATCCTAGGGCAAAGAAAGCTAGCACCAACCACAAGCTAAGAAATATAAAATATGCATTTTGTGTTTAGCTAAAACATACTAAGTGCATTAAAAACATTTATAGCAATTCCTACCTCAGACAGCTTACATGATATGGTAAGGAGATACAAGAAAGATATAGTTAGCAAGATCTCTATGCTTAGACAAATTTAAAATCTTACTAGCAAGTACAAGAATCATTCCACTTGATTGCAATACAGTTATCTCAGGAAGAGTATGACACTGCACTTCAGTGCACTGGATGACTGCGGTTTATAATATGAAACTACCCAGAATGGGAGAGTTTCTTGTTAGAGAATTTCTTATTGATGCGCCAGGATCCTGTTTTGAAAGCTACACAGAAGTAGGGTTATGGTTTGTTGTTTTTAAATGGGCAAGATAAAAAACTACCACACTTGAAGAGGCCAGGAAAAGTCAACTCTCCACATAAAAGAACAGCTTGCATATCTCCATTTTACTAACCTCAGTTGGGAAGCAAGTTTTTTTTGTTTTTGTTTTTAATCTCTACAGCTATGTAGAGTAAGATCTAGGAGATCAGAAACTTTTTGGATGCATATGAGCTTGTTCCATGAGATCCATTGCCTATATTTAATGAAATCTCATTTGCCTTAGTACTGTTGAGCAAAAATTATGTTCAGTGTTGTTCAGCCATATGACTAAACAAGAAGTATTTATCTTAAAGTCAATTTTCCTAATTGTCAGCCTTCCAACTCAATATTTAAAAAGGGCAGCTTACCACATCTTCAGTTTTCTTTACCCTTATTATGTCTTGAATTTAAAAAAATGAATCAGCTATTGTATGTGATACTGCTTTGGTTATTTTTGCATTCTTTTGCATTCCTCATCCTGAAAAAACATTATGTTGTCAGTGTCACTTTCTGTTTAAGTCTGCAAACACTTACGTACATGCTTAAGTAAATTTAATACTCTGTACAAGTTGAACCAGATGCAGTACTTTATTCAGATAGTCAGTCTTATATTTAAAGTTTAATTTTGGGTGACCAGAAAATCAATTAGAAGTTATGAAGCCAAGTTATTTTGCAATGTAATCACTCTCACCTTTAATCAAACTTGAAGGCAAACACGTTATCAATGTATTTGGCATTAAATTATAGCTGTCAAACTGTTCAGCTTTAGTATATTTTTAACATTACTTGTGTAGCAGTTCAATTTTTTAAATAAAAATATTTCAATGTGACATTCTGATTAAATTTACACTTTGTTTGCATGACAGCCCTACAGGGACAGCAATCATATAATCTTATTCTGACATACTTCTATAGAATATGAATACATATATATCTTTCAAATTAATAACATGTAATAGTATTCACAATTCTAGTTCAATTTACCTGAACAGGCTTTCTTACATGTTTAAAATTATCAAATAGGGTGCTGTCAACATAAAAAAAAAAAAAATTACTTACTTTACTGGCAAAAACTGAAAATTACAGTATTTCTCCCCAGGTTGCTTACCTTTTGTGTTTTATTTTACATAGTCAGTTTCACTGTTTGCACTGGATAATCAATTTATCCTATCTAAAAGAGTATCACAGCAACAGGTGAAAAGTCATTTAAAGGTTGGAAAGTGGGATTACAGAACTACCAAAAAAATTGCAGGATGACCTTGGGGAAATAAAATACCCAGAAAAAAAATTACGTATCTAAAGTATTTGTGGCTTTTCCAGGTGTGTTGACTATATATGCCACTGATAGCAGGCAAGCATTCTATGTCTTCCAGTTCATATTTCATTAACCAACAATGACCAGTGGGTGGCTATGCCTCTACTCTGCCATGTCCCTGTGCATCCAACTGAAGGCAGAAAAACAAAGCAACCTAAATGTTCCTCAGTTCCTTTGCCAACCAGTCACAGCATAGGTGTCCAATGCATTTGGGAGAAACACAGCTACTGTAAGTTAAAGATACACTTTTATGAGGGCTTCTGCAATTGTATTCCACACAAACAATGAACTACTGTTATAAATTGGGTGGAAGACTACTAACTCTAAGCCCCCTTCTACACATGCAGGTAAAGGCACAATCAGATCTAACGCGTGATCCACACCATTGCACCACAGGGCATGACTGTAGGATAATGCATTAGATACTGTTGCCCCTTATTGCTGATGCTGGGGGAGCCTAAGCAAGAAGCAGACTCGCATGGCTTGGAGCCCCTTTGCTGAAATGGCTCCCAGCCACAAGTACCACGTGCAAGCAGGACCTGGCAGGGCTTTCAGTCCCTGCTGCCCATGTGACACAACTGGGACCAAAAGTCCCACACTCCTATGTGGCACAGCCAGGACCAAGAGTCCTGTCAACTGCAGGATTCTCCATCCCTGCAGCTGCGGGGTGCTGCTGCAGTGGTGCATGTAGCAATCCACAAATGAGAGATCTCAATGGCTCAAAGATGGCAGCAGCTGAGATCTCACAGCTGCAGACTGCTTCTATGTGCAAAGTAAAGCTGGACAGAAACCAGCTATAATGTTTTTACACAATTTCAAATAATAACTTTATACCTAGCTGGACCTTTTAAAGTGAGAGAGTTAATTTGTGCAGTCAGTCTAAATTTATTGAGCAATTAACAAGGTAATTGTGCAACAGGTGTGTGTAGAGCAGGCCTAAGACATTTCAGTCAAAATAAGAATTATATGTATGTTTCTACAATGAAGTTCAATATCAGTATACAACAAGTAGCTGTCCCTGAATGTTTTTACTATAGACACATTGCTCAAAAGATTCTACTGTGGACACCTGAGCCCTACTGAAATGGAATGAGACTTTTTTCCAGCGAGTTTATTGGTCAATTTATGAAATAATCTAATGCAGCCAGTAATGTAATTAGACAAATCTGAAACAAAATGTGCTAACCTTTTAATCTTTCTGCATAAACAAATACTCTAAGGAGACACCTCAACAGCCTAGTCCTATCTAAATAGAATGGCAGCGCTGTAGTAACATCTGAAGTGTGGAGCTTCACACTTCAGTGCAAGAATATGACTCAGAGAAGAAATCAGAGAAATTCAATTCAATCCCTTGAATGAGATGAAAGTTGTGATATTTTAAGATACTTGAGAAAAAATTCTTAAAGTTACCCTGTAGGATTAGACCTGCCTTAAGGACCTACATTTCTTTCATACTGTTGGGATGGGGGAAAACTGAGCATCCTTAAATTGGAGGGTGACTGGCTGACTTGTCTTCCAAGTAGACCCTTCTGCAAAAAAGATCAACACTACAAGTATAAAAATCATAGCCAGCCCCATGTTCTATAATAATAGTAGACAGTATATGAAATCTGAAAACAGAACCTCTAAAAAGATATCATTGGTAGGGGTTGGTCCATTCAGTAAAACTTTTCAGTGTGGCAGAACAGAATAGAGTTCTTTCCACTATTAGTAAGGGATATTTGGACTTCTCATTAAGAGCTTCTCTGCCAGCAGCCATCAAGCATCCATATGGTAAGACTTCTGGGAAACATGGCACCCTCTTAGGATATCAGGTCTGGTTGAAGATGTAGCAAGAATGGATCTCAAGTCAAAAGATTCAAGAACCAAAACTGTCCTGACAAAAATGGTGACAGCAGTGTCTAGACAGAGACCTACCTGAGTTTTCCAATTCACTTCAGAATTAGAGGAAGTGGAGAAGCTGTGTACATGAAGCTAGGATATCAAGAAATCAGGAACCTACATGAAACAAAGCCTGGTCTATACTTAGTCTGAAATAAAACCTGCACTGTTCATTTTTGCAAACAGATATACATGGAGGCTTGACCCTGACAGTCAAATAGTTCTTTACCCATTCATTCACTATTGCTTTTAAATTGCCTGCTCTCATAATTGGCCAGAACATCCTGTAGATCTAGTATGGGGAAAACAACTAGAATTCATGTCATAATTGTTCACAGATGCACAGCATCTTGATACAGAGGGGTGAATCTTGTTCCTTCCTGTATAAGAGTCATCCATCAATATCTGATTCGATGACTCTCTCAGAATTAGAAGAAATGGCTATGAAAGCAAAACAAATTGTTTTCACTCCACAATGTTCATGTATAGCCAGACTTCTTGATGTGCATAATGCAGATGCAGTTGTTCATACCCCTCCTGGACTGCTGGAGGGCTGGATGTTGGTAGCAACAGACAAACTAGCTTCCCTTCCAAACAGTCACAGGATCCTTCCTGACAGAACTACCACTTTTTCTCTCTAGCTGATGTATGTTGGGTTAACATATTGCCTTCAACCAACAATGGCACAAAGCAAAGGTGAACTTTAGCATGCTGAGTTATATAGATGGACAAAGTCATGTGACCTAAGAATTTGAAACCAGCGCTCAATAACATTTGAAGATGCATCGGGAGTTGATCAATTGTGTCATGGAACATTCCTGAGACAAGTAAGCCCTTGCTGTACTTAAATGCCAAAACTGTTGCTAAGAATTGTATTATCTGAATAGGGATTAAAACAGATTTTCTCCCATTCACCCCAACTCTTGGAAGGTTTGGAAAGAAACCAAACAAACAGTCTGCTGAACAAAAGTCTGAGGGACCTTGATGCTTGCAGTCTATGATGGAATGAAACATCAGAGGGATCTGTGAGATGGACATTTGAAGTTGTCTGAACCATGCAGACGATGCTTGGTGTCAACACTGCCTATTTGTACATTGGTCCTAAAGAACTGATGTCTGTCTGAGCAACTGTAAAGGATCTGGAAGACTTTTATTAATGGAGACTGCCATGAAATGCAAGATGAGCAGGAGTTTATGTAATCTCTCTTGTACAACCCCAGTCAGTCTCTAGGTTCTGAGGAAGGGCACATTAATCCTGCTTTTTTGAAAACCAAGCGCCTCTCAACTATGTACCCCTCTCTCTCATATACCAATGCATTACGCCTCTGGACCATTTTAAAGCTCTAAAGGGGGAATAGAAAATTTGCCAAAAGAGCTATGGTGACTGTAGTACATGATATTTTCATGGCCCTAGCTGATCTAGGTCCACCAGCAGACCTTCATACTGTAGAAAAGGGTTTAAACTTTGGAAGCTGCTCTGCCATTGCAGGCAAGAAGTGGTACACTGGCCAGCCTCTCAAGGAAGTGACAGAATCCCCAAGCTAGAGAACAAATAGAAAACATTACCCTAATCACTAAACTAAAAAACTATCTTGCATACAATATCTACAAACAAATGAGAAGGCTGTTTAGTGCTCTGAACAGATGCCAGAGCTCCATTTGAAGCATTGTTGGTTGGTTAGAATGACCTGAAGGGCAAGTGCAGTCATCCAGTACTTGGATGAAGGCATGAAGAAATATGCAGCCTCAATGCACCCTGCTGCTTAAAAGTCTGCAGTGGGTGTACACACCATTAGTGGAATATATGTTTTAATATACATCACACACAAACATGCCCTCAAGTAACTACTTTTAACTTGTAAATTGGCAAGATTTTCTTGAAGCAAAACAAAAGTGATTGCCATTTTAGTAAATGATTTTAAAGCCATTTGGAGATGAAAACTAAAAAGCTTGCTTCTAATGTTTTAGCTCCAGAGACTCTACAGTTAGGACTGCACTTGAGTAGGCAACATTTAAAAATGTTAACCTCAAATAAAAAATTATTTTGAGAGGTGACACTGTTTTGTAAAACTGAAAGAAATTACAAATTTTAAGGGTATGAGAAATGCTGGGAACTATTACTACTAGTCTCTTGTTTGATTAGTTGCAAGGTGCTAAGAAATTCAGCTACCTCTAAACATTTTTAAGTTGTCAAAATGAACTGGATAAAATAATAGAATTCTAACAGTGAAGAGGAGGAAGCGTCAGGCTGTTTCCTATTATAACTGAACATAGTAGAAAACCATGGCATTTGCATACAAAAAACAGACCACACTGAATTTACTGTGTCCCTCAGGAAGTCCTCAGGCTTGCCACCCTGTTCCAGGAGGTTTGCCTCTTAACCAGAAGCAATATAGCCATATATGCAGGCTTTTATTTAGGCCAGTAATTTCAGACACTCCACTAGTTAGTCCAAAAGAGATACCAAGTAGATGTACGTATTTTCAGTTTTCATGCAGCGTGTTAGGTGCAGTGTGCTTGAGGGTACCACTCTCAGGCACAGTTAAGTTTGCTATGTAGACACAGCCATAGGGCTTAAGCAAAATCTATAAAACCATTAAAGTTCTTGGAGTAGACTGCTAATAGCCAGTCAAGACTCAGACTGGTATTACAGTTCATTAGCATGGTATCTGCAATAGACAGCTTTCTCCTACAAAATTAATTCTCTGAAAGCTTACAGTCTAGAGTTTTGCGGATTTCACAACGCAAACATGCTACAGTTATACCACTGGGTACTTATATAGCTAACAGTGTTTCACTAGGTACATTAGAACTAAAAAGTGCACAAGAGCACTAGATAAAATGAACAGATTAGTACAGTTTCATTCTTACATTCTTTAAAAGCTTTTGGTACTAAATACATTGGAAATTCACAAAACTTTTAGATAATTTTATAAATGACTAGCCAATTGCCCATCAAGAATGAATGACGGGGGGGGCGGGGGAGAGGAGGGGGCTGGGATGGAGTGCTGCCATCTAACGCCCCATGCTGCCGCTGTTCTGCCTTTTGCCCCGCCCTCTGTCCAGTCCTTGGTTCAGCTTTGGAATCATGGCAGCACTCCCCTGTGCTTGGAGCACTCTGATTGGTTATTTCTGTCAGCCAATCAGAGTGCGAATAGAGCGTGACAGACTTAGGCTTTTATATTAGAATTATTGTACTGAAAGCATCTTACCTATTAAGATCTTCAAAGTCCTTTGAATAACCATCTGGAGGAGAATAAACACTCTTCTGGTATGGTTTATAAGGATTCATACTAAAAGATGCAAGAAATGTAAGATTAGGTAAAGGCTACCAAATGAACCTTTGCTTGGCTGCCATCAAAAAGGCTTGTTTTATACACTGATAGTCTAACATACTTGATTACAGCTTGGAAAAACCATCATATTTGGTTTAATAGCAGAATACAATTATAGGTTCTGTTTTATGTAACAGCTGCAAATATTTAAGTCAAAGAAAAAAAAAGTTTAATTTTTTTCTCATTGAGCTTTAAGCTTAAAAAAAAAAATCTGCCTATCTTAGATAACTGTTTTGTGATATACTATGAAGTAGTTACACTTTATCCACAGTCAGTTTCTTCTGACAGTCCATTAAAAAAAAAAAAAAAAAAAAAAAAAAAAAAAAAAAAAAAAAGACTAAAACAACTACTGATATCACATCAGTTATTGTGAAAGCTGCAACCCCTGACAGATGTTTTCCTAAAGCTTTTGATGGTCCACCACTTCCCCTTGAACCTATACATACAACCAAACTTAGAACTTGAAGCTCATACAGCTAAGCACATGTGAATTCCTGGATGTAAAAAAAAAAAATCAGCCATGTTAAGACTTCACTGACTTCCCCCCAAAAGATAAAAGATAAGTATACCTGCTTAAATAAATGTAAATTAAGCAAGATATTTCAAATGTAATAGTTTAACTTCATCATTTTTATCCCAGTTTATTTCCTTATATATCACAGGCTGTCTAATGCTAGCTGATAGGGCTGTGCAAAGCTTCGGTCTCTGATTCAATTCGGCGGAGATTGGACCAATTCAGTGGCTGAATCTCTAAATCCAAATCGAACCAGAGGACCTTTGAATCTCTCCGAATCAAATCGGAACCCTCTGAATTGATTCAGAGAGATTCGGTGATTCAGACAAACACAGCTTTAAATGTTTTTTCTACATATCCCTAGGTAGCAGGCAGCTTGTTTGTGAATGCTGCAATGCTGGGGCACAGGGAGTGTCCCACAGAAGCACGGGAGCTCCCCAGCATGCTCGGCAGCAGACCCAGAAGTGGTCCAGAAGCACTTATGGGTCCACTGGGGAGCGCGCTGGGGGGACCCCACCCAGCAGCCAATCACTGAGCCGGGGAGGTGTGAGACCCACTCCCCCCCAGCATGCTCCCTAGCATACCTGGAAGTGGACCAGAAGTATTTCCGGTCCACTTCTGGGTTCACCACCAAACACATGGAGGGCCCCTCCCGTGCTCCTGTGGGACACTCCATCCACCCCACCATCGCAGGGTTCACCAGCCGCACCTGGTACCTCAAGGTATGTAGAAAAAACATTTAAAGCTGTGTCTACGTCCGAATCGCTGATTCTGAGAATCAGCATCAGATCTTCAGATTCAGATTCTGCCGAACCAAACAGTGATCCAAATCAACGAATCAAATCACTGTCCCTGATTCGGGCCGAATTGAATAAGGACCGCTTCGCACACCCCTACTAGCTAATCTAAAGCTCTTTTCACATACAGGTCATAGCTGAGAGTTCCACTTCACTTTTTAATACTTTTATTACCATGCGTGGCAAGTGTTCCCCAAGGAGATTTGGCTCCAACTGCACTACATGTTATACTAACAATGAAACAAGGTCCTTGCACCAAAAGAACTTACTATTGAAAACAAGCAACATACACAGGGTGGTAAGGAGAAAGACAATATCTATTTATACAAACATACACATTCTACTGCACTAGATTTGCCTTCAAAGTGAATAATGAGTTTAGTTTATGTATTCCAGTTGGAAGAATTAAGTTTTCCTCAACAGGCAAGGAAAATTACTAGAACCCTTAATAGAATGAATCTCTAGCTTCTACATGGCATTTAACTTCCACCCCTAAGAGAAGAGCAAGACAGAATTTCTGAGACAGGAAGGATCAGAATTATTATCTGAAAAATGTTCACACTGAGGTGGCCACAGAAGAGTACTGTTAAGAAATATTAGACATCAGTGGACCAAGTGTCAAGGATGATTTTTCTTTTTTTAAAATGAGCACATATACTTGACAATTCTTTATCTCAAGTAGACAGTGTACAATAGGAAGGCTAGAGGGTGAAAGGAATAAGCAAATGGCTCAGTGCAAACACTGAAAGGAGCTGCTGTGAATGGGATCCAAAACTGAATAGGATGATGCCTAAAACATTATTTGAGAGACAAGAAGAAATTCAACGTGTACTTAGAAGCCAAGAGGCAATTAGAAGAAAAGCAAAAATTAAAGCATCAGATCTTTTCAAGAAAGAAGAAATTTTGAAAAAATTAACAGACATATGACTTCAATTGAAATAAATACAGTAGCATGTTTAAAATTAATTTGGTTGTCTCTCAAAATTACAAATCATCAACACTTGCAAGATGGTACTGTTAGTTGAAAAACTGCTTTGGACCTCCTTTATCCAGGAATTCACTATATGGCCTGGATGTACCATGAATGCTTGGCTACAGGCCATGCACCTTGACTAGCCTGGGCCAATTTATCACAGACCAAATGGTGCCAGCAGCAGATGGTACAGATTAGCAGGCGCGCAAGCACAAAAGTGCTAATTTCTAGGGAGTTGGCAGCTATAAGACTGATAGAAACCCTACAATATTACTCTATTGCACTTCATAGCCAGTGCTGGTATTGGCTGCTGCTACTGCTGAGGTAGAAAAAAAAGACAAGGATAACAGTCCATATGAATCATGGTCCTAATGTCTGTCCCCAAGTTCTTCAGCCAAAAATGAGAGATGCTGCCACACTCAAAAGATTAGTTTAAAATCTTTATTTCTCTAATAATAGTTTGGGTTTTTTATTAATCCAAATTTTTTGATACAATATGGTATTAGTCTGGAAGCTAAAGTGGATAATTATAAATAAAACACTGTTCTCCTAAATAAAGACCTTGTTGTTTTTTTAAATTCTACCCATTACCAAAAATAAATAAATAAATAAATAAATAAATAAATAAATTTAGAGGAAGCCAGTATAAAGGTGTGACCTTAAAATTTGGGATTTCTTCAAAACAGTCATACTAAAAAGGTCGTTAGAAGTATTAATGCACCTCAAAATATGAAGAAATCAGACCAATAAAAAAATACTACAGTCACTATTAGCATTATAAAACAGAATATGAAAACTTGGGAAGGGCATGAAGATGGAGACTGTAAAGAAGCTTCTTGGGAATGGAACAAGTGGGAGTAGAAACTGGGGAAAGAAGCCAAATACATATTGCAACTTGACTGATCAAGAACTCAACCAAAACTTGTATTAAGGGAACATTAAGAAAAAATGAACAAGAACTGTAATACGGCTCTCTCTAACATTTTCTAGAAGAGTTTTATTTGGTGTCATAAAAATAAGATACTGAGAAGAGCAAACAAGTTAACACTTACAAATAGAATGCACAGTACTGTCTTTACATACAAAGCCAGATGAAGGAAAAACAGACTATTCCAGACTCAACAAACCTGTTACAGATTACTTACTCCAGAAGGTGTGGACTCCATCCGGGTCTACGCCTGGACCCAAAAATCAAAAGAGCTTGGGTTAAATGATGTTGAAGACAAATGGTAAAAATAGCAGTTTAGTCACTACTAGATTAGAAAATGTGCAAGTTTCTTCATCTGCTCAGATTTTAGACAACTTGCTTTTAAATTATCACTAAATGGTTCAAAGAATGATTGATAGGATAAAGAAAAAAAATGAAGTTAAGCTAAGTATGTAGAAGTGCATATATGCAAAATCTACTTGCCTCAATCCTAGGGGGAAAAAAAGAGCAAAGAAAGAGGAGCTAGCTTCCCTGAGCCTTTCCAGGTAGGGCAGAACATAAATCTAAATAATAAATAGAATATACAGATGGACTGAAAAATAAAAAAAATCAAACACTGATCACTGTTTTCTTCATATTTCATGCCATGAATTATAACCTTACATTTCACTGGTTGGGCAAACTGTCTTTAAATTCTCCACTTAGAAGTGTAGCTTAGTATTATATAACTCAAGAAATGGATACAAAGGAATTTCTGTGTACAATCCACATAGAGATGACCCAACTAGCTGCACCGTTGATATCTGACTAAAGATCTGCTTTTTAAGTATAAATGAAGGGTAGTCGATAAACCTGTTATATCCTAGATGGAATTCAATGCATTTTATTTCAAATCATAATTTTTGTAATATAATTTGTTATTCAGTTATCTAGCATAACTATTGCCCCAAACAGGAAACCTGGAATTCTGATATTTTACCAAAAATGTCTGTAGCTACATAGATATTAAAACAAAAAAACAAACAAAACCCAAACTTTTCAGGGAAATGAGAACTTGGAAAGAAATAAAAGCTGTAGTTTCTTGATAAACTTAAAACTTTATAGACTCATTTAGTATTACAATTTGAGTAAAAAGTAACCTTCATGTTACTAAATGAATTTTAGGTCTTTTAGGTGCTTTATCCTCAACTTGGGATGAAGTAGCTGCTGTTGTAAATAGATGGATTTATAAAAAAATTGGACTACCTGCAATAGTCCATAAATATTAGTCAGTCACATCTTGAAACATTAACATTCCACCTATAAAATAGCCTGCATTGAGAGGATGGTTTATATAGGAGAAAAAGCAATTTTAAGATTGGAAAAACAAAGACACGAACAGGCAGTTAGGGTAGGTCATTTATTTATAATAGCAGACAAGGCTACCAGTTTATGAGCATTGGATTATGCTTGAAGTAGAAATATGAGATAGAGAAACAGATACTAAAGTTCCTGAACCTCAAGGGAGATTCCCCCCCCGCATCCCATACTAAAGAAGAGATACATGACATCTCATTCTATACTGATAATGAACATTTCTTCAGATCCTCAGTTTTGGATAATCAGCGTAGATAATTACTTAACAATCCAAATTAACTCTAAACCTTTCTGCATAGGCTGTTAGGTTTAAGGTGCCACAGGTACATGGGAAAGGGACAGCCAGGAGCAGACCAATAGATGCATTAATTCTAAGAAACAAATTCTTCAAACCACAATGATAGTGTTAGAACAGCTGCTTAATCTTCCTTCATTTACTTTGTTTTTTCCTCAAACTTGAAAAAGAATATACTGCTTGTCTATTTCAGCCAAGCAGTTCAACCAATTAAAGGTCTCACCTACAAAATTCTCCCTTCTCGCACTGTTTCATTTGCCTCTTTATGTAAATTCATTGAGTCTCTAAATGACCAGAGCTTGAAGAAAATTATAGCATCTAACTGCAAAAGTAACCCTATTAGCCAGAGGAAAACACAAGAGTTGTGGGGGCTCCCTACATAAGTGAATGCTAGGAAGAATAACTTGGTGTAAATTTCCTCCTGGTGATGAAAATATATACAGCTTAATTTTGCAGAAGAGTATCTGACTTCTTGGTATGTGAAAATTTTAAAGCTCCACCAGCTTTTAGGTACAAAGGTAAAGAAGAGAGGAAATGTCCCTATTATTTAATCTTTTCCCAGATTTCAATTTTGTGAAACAATTTTAATGTTGATATATGTTGTTGTCTTTCCTAAGAACCAACAAAGCAAAGTCAATATTCCCAACTATTTCACTGCTGCTGACAGGGTTCTAAATAATATCAATGGAAGCAACTATTCTTCTAATTTTTACACTGCTGTCAGACTAACCTATGATAAATTGGAGTCATCTGCAGACTCAGGAAAGACCACTGCAAAATTGTTCAGTGGGTCATGTTCACAATGTCATGACCCAAAGGCATGATTTTGTGTGTGCTTCGGCACCAGAATTATCCCCGCCAAGTTGCAGAGCATTGCACGGGAGAGTTTCCTGTTGCAGAGGAAAACCCCAGTGCAGGGACGAGTTTCCCGTCTTTCTGCAGCTTTTTTTGCAGAGTGCATTGCTCGAGTTGCAAGAGGAATGCACGGTGCAAAAGAGTTCCCGCCACTGGTATGTAAATTCGTTCCCCGCTATTGGCTAGTTTTAAATTATTCCCACGTGGCGGCTAACGATTGGCCTGTTAGCCGTATAAGAGGCTTGAGCAGTTTCCGCCCAAGCCGAAGAGGACTCCACATCCATCTCGTGGGGACTCTGGATACATGGCAGGGTAATAGAGACCCTGTGTGAGATTCAGAGGAGTTTGGCGACCTGATCCATCGCCCACCTCTTCCCGTCTTCGATCGCAAATTTTATAAGACGTATCTCCAATTTCGATTTTGGTGGTGCGTTCACCCAGAGCATCCAGAGCTCTGTTCCGTGGAGCCTAGCAAACTCCACGTGACCGTCCGTGTCGTCTGTGTCTGTAACCGCAACTCAAGCAAGTTTTCCAGCCTACACCACTGCCATCTCGGTGTAAGTAAACAATCTTTAAAACTACCGCTAAGCGTTTGTGCCTAATTCCAGCTCGTCGCCCTCCCTCTCCGATCCAGCGTGCCCGGGCTGCTGGCCACAGTCAGCGTGCAGCATGGAAAAGGGCTCGGGTCGCTCCCGGCCCGCACACACAACATTGCTGGTTTGTTTAAAAAGGAAAGAAAAAAAAAAGGAAGATGGATGGATTTGAATTCACACACAGAAAAACCTTCCTACTTGTGAACAAGCACACAGGGTATCTACATGCATGCTCTGGGGGGTGCTTTAGTTAGAGTGGCTCTGAAAGCTGCTCTAATTAAAGTGCACACAGCCTCACATGTATTCAGCATCCTGTGGTTCAAAATGGTGGCGGGGACAGTTTAACTAAAGCTTGTTCGATGAGCTTTAGTTAAATCGTTCCCACCACCATTTTGAAATGTGGGGACGCTGAATACATGTGACACGGAGGCTGCTGGAGCATGCTAGTTAGCACGCTGGAGCACAGCCGGCAGCTGCTGGAGCATGCTAATTAGCATGCGTTGGAGCAGAGGTCTGTCACATGTATAGGTGCCCATAGATTTTTAAACCTTGGTGCTCTTGATGAATGATAATGGCTCCGGCTGCTGCTCTGTTACGATGTGAACCTCGGTAAGTTTGTTCAACAGGTACTGCATAAAGATAATCCAGATGTCCATTTTATTCTACAAAGCTCTCTCTTTATTGCATATCACACTCCAGACCATATACTGTATCTACTTGGATCCAAGACAAGGTTCCCCACCTCACAATAAGCATGGAGAAAAAAGCCCATCATCTTAGACTTGCATACAAACCCGGGGAGGGGGGTGGTAGAGCTTGCTGCTGTGGCTCTAACTCTGGCCCTGAGCCCAGTTTGGGGCCAGAGTCAGACCACAACAGTCACTTGCCCTCCCTCCCCCCTGCCTCGGTTGCCCTCTACAGCTTCTGCCCACCCCTCTGCTCCCTGCTGTCCCACTTGACTGTCAGGCACAACCTGGCTCCGGCTCAGGCTGGATTCCCTCCTGCGCACAGAGCACATGGAACTCCATCCCCTACCCAGCCAATCAGCAGTGTCAGTGCTGCTGTGGGGCCAACAGTAGCTACATTTCAACATGCCATGGTCCAGACAGGGAACAGAGTCCGAGCAGTGTCTGACAGTAAGGGGGGTGGGGGCAGAGGGCCATCTGACTTCCCCTATTGCTTCTTTCCCTGCTGTAGCAGGGGGTTGGGAGGAGGGTGAACTGAAAACAACCCTCTGACAGAATTTTCCAGGTACAGAATCCAACTAACAAATGTATAAATTTTCCATATATAGAACCTAATTACTGGGGAGTAGTCTTAAATTCAGTCATCTTAGATTAGATGAAACATGGTATATTGAACAGTGCATTCATTTCAGTGCATTTCTGATTAGGCATAATAGTCTATACGTAAATTGAAAACTGCACAATTAGGGCATAAGGCTAAAATCTATCTGTACAAAGGACCACTACAAGGTCTATGCATATCAACTAGGAGTTTAGTAACTGCCTAGCCATTTACACTTAGATAAGCACATTAAGGGTGCTGACAGAAATGTGTGGGGTGGGGGGGCGGGAAGCACTTTTACTTGAAACTCCATGCACCACTGCACCAAGCCCAATGCATGCCCAGAAGCATGAATGGAGCGTACCCCGGCAGCTGGGAGGCATGGCTGCAACTGGGGGTGGTTGGAACGCAGCAGCAGTGAGCTCCCGCAGATGCCGCCAGCATGGTCGGCGGTAGGGGAGGCGGGTTGTGGAAAGCACGCAACCAACCCGCAGTTCTTCCTGGCCAGGTCGGCGGCAGCCAGGAGCAACCATGGACTTCCTGCAGATGCTGCCGACGGTTCTGGCAGTAGAGTGAGAAGCAGCAACCACTCGTAGGCACCGCTGACAGTGTTGACGGCGCTTTTTTGCAGAGGGTGCATGTACACCCGCATGCACCCCCTATGCGTCGCCCCTGCCCAGAAGAGGCATTGCATTAGCTCAACCCATCTCCACAGCATCTGTATAGATCAGGTGCTTCAGCAGCAGGAGGGTTTTGGCCCTTTTTATCTAATAGCTTATTCCAAAAAGTTGAGTTGTTAGTTCCTAAGTGCATGACTTTGTACTTGGTAGTATTGGGTGGCGGCACTTTTATCTAATAGCTGATTGAATCAGCTAATAGATAAAAGTGCCAAAAAGCCTTGCTGAAGCGCCTGATTTATACAGGCATTGGGTGAGCTGAGTCCAACCAATGTGATGCCTGGTCTGGGCATGTGCTGGGCTCAGCACAGGGGTACACAGAGTTTAAAGTAAAGCACCGTTTTGTTTTGTTGTTGGGGGGGGGGGGGGTATGTCTGTAAGCAGCCAATGGGCTTAACTGTATAACACAACGTTTGCATTCATATGTAAATAACCAATATTTGTTCCAGTTAAACAGCTTAAACATGCATTTTCTTTCAACATCACTATTTTGTAACCTAACTGTACCTAACTGTACTCTAACCTAATTGTATAAATGATTAAGACCTGTGAATGTCAAGGCTTCTAAAACTCCCTCGATCTTCCTAGGAACAGTCAATTTCAAGGCTACTAACAAAGGCATAGAAACTTTGAAAAAAGTAACAAGCCTTAATGAGGTGTAAAAAACATAGTGCAGGCTGAACTTAAATGATTGCTCACACAAACTTGAGGAAGTGCAGGCTTCAGTTCTTCTTTAGTCTTAAGGCTACAGACTTAAACAAAGTACACTGTATAAAAGCTTTATGAGCTTTTTGCATAAGATGAATTTAATCTGTATACGTTAGAATTGATTGAAAATAAGGTACTGTTCAAGGAGCATTCCATTACTGAGTTTTAAGCACCTTTTACAATTCAGAGCCCTAAGTAGATAGACTTTTGAACAGGGTCAGACATCATTACTTGAAACAACTCGATACCATGATTCATAGATTATCAGTATGACATTGACAACAGTACATACAACATTAATTTCAGCAAAGGGTTCAAACTGTTTTCGATATTAGCTACAACGCTGTTTTCAATACATTGCTGCAAATATAAAATGTATTAACTGAAAGCAATATAGAGCTTAATTCTTGTTTCATTAAGATAGACGAAACATATATGATTATATTTTAAATGCTCAGCTATAGTACGTGCTGGTTACTAACATCATATTGGGTAAAATACTATTTAAAGCTCATACCTGGTGATTCTAATAAGCAAGAGCAGAATAAAGTTAGCCATAGAGGTGCACCAGCACATTGGTCTATATCGGATTGGCACCGATAACTGACATTAATCAGCAATTGGCTTTTTTTGGCTGATGTCACCAATAAATGCTGCATGCACATACACAGCCGCAGTATGCATGCGGTCAGTCTGGCAGCGTGGAGAGCAGCATCTGGCTGGTAAGTCTGCTGTTGGAAAAGGGTGGAGGAAGGGTAGTGAGGGGGGAAGGCAGATCAAGGCCCCTACAGTAAGGAAGGGAGTGAGGCTGGAGCAGGGGCAGGTGCTGCCCAGCCAGGGCGGGCCATGAGTGGCTTGTCTTAGGGATGTGGAGGGGGGAAGGGGGTGGCTCTTGCCACTACGTGCACCCCAGGGGAGGCACCCCCCCTGGATTTGTCTGGAGTCGCGGGTGGCCTGCCGCTGTGTTCTGTAGTCAGTGGCAGTGCTGAGCTCGTCCCAACAGGGGGGCTGGGCTAGGGCTGTGCTCGGGGCGGGTGGGGACAGTGGCGCTAGGAGGGGGACTACAGGGTGAGCTGCAGCCACCCCAAAATTCAACGTAGCCCACACCATGGCTCCCCTTCCCAGCACCACCACTGCCTGCCTCAAGCACAGCCCAGGCCCAACCCCCCCGCCGGGAAGAGCCTGGTGCTGCCTCAGGCTCCAGCTTGCAGAGGCAGCCCACCCTTGCCCATGCACAGTTCTAGGGGGCACATGCCCCCCATGCCTCCCCTGGGGGTGCATGCAGC